CCAGCCGCCAGCCTTCCCTTGAGAGCAGGCGGTCCCTAGACCTATCGGATAGGTGGGTCGCTACCTCGTCGCGTGCCGTGTGCCGTCGCAGAGTGCTGTGGTCGGTCCTTGCAGCCGTGGTGAGGCCAACACCAGTCCCGGCAAGGGCGGCCTCGTGCTGCCGCGGGGTCCCCCTCTCCCCGCCCTGGACCGCCTTGCAGAGGAGCAGTGTTGGGATGCTCCAGGTGCCTCTTGGCCCTGTGGTGTCCCTTCTTGCTGCTGCGCCCCAGTTCATGGGGGCGATGCCCCAGCATCCTGGTCCCGCTCACCAGCACAGCAACTGGCTGGCAGCACTGCTGCCCGTTCCCCGTCGTGCCAGCGGGTGTGGGAGCTGGGGCCTTGGGGACTCAATTGCCACCCTCCGTTTCTGGTCATCGCCCAGGGAGCACCTGGCTGGGCAAAAGCCTCGCGCAGTGATTTGGGACCCTCACCATGCGCCAAGGGCCCCTCTCCCAGCTCTGGCCAGGATCAGGCCAGGGAGGTGAGGGGTTTCCAGTCATGAGCTGTGTCTCCCGCACCCCTGTGCCCCAAGTCTCCCTTCCCAAGGTACCTGGATGATGCCAGTACCCCTCCCTGCTGGGACCAGCCTGGGCATCCCCCAGCACCCTCCTCCCTGTGGTGTCCCCCGGCTCCCCATTGCCTGGCCCAGCCACTCTGGGCCCAGGGCTCTGCCCATCCCGTCCCCTTGTCCCCTTCCCCCTTGGCCACCCCTGAGCCCTGGCTGCCGGTGCTGGAGATGTGGTGTCGGCCTCTTCCTAGGCATGTCCCTGTCCTGTCTGCATGTTTGCTTATGTGAGCCTCTCCCCACGGAGCCCCACGGCCGCCCCGTGCCCGGCAGCCTCCTGGGATGCAGGGAGTCCCTCTGCACCGCTGCTACCCCCGGTGCAGGCGGCTGTGAGAGGGGGATGCTGGAAGGGCCGGGGCCAGTGGGGCAGATGGGGTGGTGGGAAGGGGTCTGGCCTGGCAGGAAGAGTGGAGAGGGGACACCTGGGTAGGGGTGATGTGGTTAAGGGGAGTAATGGGGTTGAGGGGTTGTCCTTGGAGAGGGGGTGCCTGGGAGGTCTACAGGGGGTGCTGGAATGTCAGGGTAGAGGTTGGGTGACAGGTCTGTGGGCTGGGGGCAGGACGGGGTGTCTGGCAGAAGCAGGAGGCAGGATCTGGCCGGGGGGTGCTGCCTGCCTGCGCTCTGCCCCCACCCCTGGCAGGGGTGAGCCGAGGGGACAGACACCGTCCCCCACATCCCCATGCTCAGCCTAGCAACAGGCAGGAAGGTCAGACCCCTGAGAGTGCCCCAGCCTGGGGGGCTACTCCCAGCCCACGGAGTCTCCTGGGTCTGTGCCTTCGATTCCCAGGACGAGGAGCCCCGTGCTCACCTAGGGCTGTGCCCCGGGGGGAGCTGCACATCCTCCCGCCCATGGTGCAGGGACCCCAGGGCTCTGGCTGGGGCAGCACGGGGCAGGCAAAGTTGTGGCACGGACCCACGGGAGCCCTGTCCTTGTCTCCGCCCCCCCCGGGGGCCCAGCCGCTACGCCTCGTCGGCCGAGCTGAGTCAGGGCAGCTCCCAGCTGAGCGAGGACTTCGAGAACGAGAGCCTGCGGGACTCGGAGCTGGATGAGCGGGACGGCGACTCCTACCACTCCTGCCACAGCTCCGTCAGCTACCGCAAGGACTCGCCCCGCTGGGAGGAGGAGGACGATGACCTCTATCTGGAGGAGGAGGAAGAGGAGGAGGAAGAGTTTAATGAGGACTACAGCGAGAATGAGGAAGGCTACCCCAAGGAGGAGGAGGAGGAGGAGGACCTGCAGGAGCAGGGCACCTACAAAACCCCCGAGCACGATGCCTACCCCCCACCGCAGAAGCCCCCTGGGCAGCAGCAGCAACAGGTCCCACAGCAGCAGCAGCAACTGCAGCAACCCCAGCTGGTCCCACAGCTGAAGTCTCAGCAGCAGGAGAGGAAGGAGGAGAGGAAGGAGGAGAAGGACATCTCTGCCCTTCAGGAAACCCCAGAGGCCCTCCAGGCCCAGCAGGGAGCAGACGAAGCTCCCCTGCAAGAGGCGGCCCCTGAACCTGAGCCCCCAAAACCGGCTGAGAGGTAGGAGGGAGATGTTGACCTGTAGCGTCCTTGGGATGGCATGGTGCCTGGTGAAACTGAGGATGCTCTGGAGGCAGCCCGGGGCTGGTGCAGGTGCTGCTGGTGCCAAGGGGCAGCACCAGGGACCTTCTGTGGTGTCTGGGGCTTTTCCAGGTGCCTGAGGCATCGAGGTGGGGGAAGCCCACCTCATGCCACCCAGGTGAGGGTCAGCCCTCTTGGCACGCTGCCCTGGCCCAGCCACCGGTGCCACACTAAGCGGGGGCAGAGCTCAAGGCGTTCAAGATCCTGCCAGGGCTACCAGGGGTGCAGGTTTATAACCTGGGACAAACCCGGAGATGGGGGCTTGGGGCTGTGATTCCTCTCCTCTGGCTCAAGCTACTGGCTCCCTGGATGGAGGGGGTACCCTGGAGCTCGGCACGGTCAGAGGAGGAAATTTCCTTCACAGGAGTCAATCCTCCCCCTAGGCCACTGGTAAAAGCTCATCCATGGCCTCCTGTGCTGTGCAGATGAATTATTTGGTGGCCAGGTCCCTGGTACAGCATGTGAATAATTCATATATCAGTCTCTGCCTTTAATTATTGAACACATCCATTTTTCTATGGTTTGGTGAGCGCCACCGCTCTGCGCAGAGGGGAAGCATGATGGGCTTTTTCAGTCTTTTATTTAATTTAAATTATAGACCAGAGCTGGGGAATCCCTAATTTAAAGGAATGTGTAATGAGCTTTTTTTAAAAAAACACATATTTTGGCCCAAGGGCTGGCTAGAGTCCTGGAGAAGACGGCCTTTGTTCATGTCTGCCTACGGTGCCTGTTCTCCGGGCAGGGGGCTGGGGGGGTCCTGCACTGGGCACTGGGGACCCCAGATTAGCACTGAGGACCCCAGATTAGCGCTGGGGACCACACATTAGCACAGGCAAGGCCACACAGGGCTGGTTTGGGCAGGTCCGTCTCCTGAGCTCCCCGTGGCCTCATCCCAGCCTGGTTCTGGGCACCCATCTCCAGTGTCACATCACACCAGGCTCTCCAGGAGCCTGGGATGTTTGGAGGATTTATTTTCTTTTCCTCCATGTCTTGATTTTGCAAGAGAGGAGAAAAAAACCCACAACAACCAGCATGTCCAGGCAGGCAGGTCCCCCTGGGCTCGGAGCCACTGGGGTGTTGGGAGCTTTTAACCTCAGGAGATCCCAGCGTGGTGGGAAGCGACCGGAGGACATCCTGCTGCGGAGACGAGGGGTGAAGGATGTTTAATCCACGTGCTTGTGTCACCGGCAGTCCCCTGACCCTTCGCTTCTGGAGGGATCCCTCCAAGTTGCTTGGGTGCCCAGGGCAGAGTCTCCCAAGGGAGGGGGAACTCCTGGCTTCTCCCCATTGCTCTGCCTTGACTGTGCTGCCCTTTGCAGTGGGACTTGCTACCTTTTTAGAGTCCTTCCTGGTAGCAAGAGGGGGTTTTTGCCATGGCCACACTGGCTCAAGGCCCATCAGGATCCTTAAATTGCAGCCTCAGTCCTGCCCGGGGTGTGGGGGCTAACTCCCCCCTCCCCAGTGCCGTGCTGGGAGGTGAGCAAGGTGTGTGTGCTTGCAGGGAGCAGGCAGAGGTGGAGGTGCAGGATCCCAAATCACGAGCCAAAGCCAACTGGCTGAGAGCCTTCAACAAGGTCTGCATGCAGCTGCAGGAGGTGAGCAACCCCGCGACCGCCCGCTGCCGGGTCCCAGCGCCGGCCACGTGCTGGGCTGGGTCGTGGCCCCTTCCCATGCCTGGGCATCTTCCAGACATGTCTGCTCCCCGATCCCATGGACATCCCACACCCTGAGGGTAGTGGGGACCTGGGGGGGGCCCCAACAGTGGTGGCCCCGCAACCCCGTTCACGACAAGTGGGACCCCCACGAGGGGCAGGGAGTGCTGAGGACCTTCCCCCGGTGTGTGCTGCATGCTGTGTGCTGGTGCGAGCCCCTCCACCCTCTCCCCTGTATTGAGTTGACAATTTTTTGTTCTGTTTTTAGACTCCATCCTCCATCTTTTCTTTTTGTTTTGGCTCTGGATTCACCCCCTGGGGCTTCGATCCCCCTCCCCACCGCTTCTCTTTTCAGTTGTCCACCACCATGGCCCTTGCGCCTGCATCTCCCCTTCTTGCAGGGAAGGGGTGTAGCCTGCCTGCAGGTAAGCATGTCCAACGGGAACGACCCCGCAACCTGTGTGTGCCTTCCCTGTGTGCGTGTGTGTGTGTGCGTGCAGGGATTGCCCCACGAGGGAGGTATAATTGGCTCTTTCCTCCCTTCTCCCCCAAAATAATCCCCTTCCTGCAAGGGAGGTGGCACTGCGGGATGGTCCCTGCACACACCCCATCCCTGGTGCGCTCTGGCTTTTCCCCGCACTTCTCTCCAACTGGCTGCGGGTCCGTGCGGACCTGCTGAGCCTTTCCAACAATGCTTCGCCAGTCCCCCAAACCCTGAATTTTTGCATGGTGCAGCCATCCCCACTGCTTTGCCAGCCCGAGCCCCTCTGCTGAAGCCTGCCCGCTGCCTGCCCAGCTCAGTCTCTTGAAGATACTTTATTCCCAGTGCAAGCTCTTTGCAGGAGAGAGCCCCGTCATTTTAGGAACACGCTTTTCTCCACCCACCCTGTAAACCCTTTACATGCTTCCCCAGTGCTGCGGGTGCCGGCTGGGTGCTCAGTTGCCAGCAGCGCTGAGCCCCGGGGGGGGCTGCCACGCGCGCCGGGGCCTGAGCGCTGCGCCCATGGCGGCTGCCCTGTGTCTTGCAGGCCCGCGGGGAAGGCGATGGAGAAGCTAAATCCCTGTGGTTCAAAGGCGGGTGAGTATGTGGGGAAGCTGGTACTTTCTGCCCCCCTGGGGTCTCGCAGGCTGCTCTCCCCTCCTCGTTAGGATATGATTAACGAGCTTGTCGGGGGGCTGGCGTGGGGAAGCGTTGCCGAGCTGTGGGCATGCGGGGGGCCAGATGAACGCTGGTCATTCGGTGCTTTTGGAGGAGCCAGTTGAGATGCCACCGCTCCATGTCCCCGAGAGCCGCTGCCGAGGGGAAGAGCAAGGAGGTGAGTGGGTTGGGACAGGACGTAGCTGGGGCTAACTAAGCCAAATGGGCTATTTTTTTCCCCGCGTTTCAGTGTCACACCACTGAAGCAAAACATCTTCACGTGGGGAAAATCAGTTTTCTGCCAGAATCCCCTTCCCCCCAGTTTTCAGTCTGGCGATCCCTGCCCCAGCTGGGGCAGTGGGGATGGGGGTCCCACAGATGGGTCCCAGGCCACCCGGGGGTTGCTCTGCAGTCCTGTCTGCCAAGTCCCTAGCAAACACGGGGCAACAGCAGGGGGCCCCTTTCTGCCTCAGTTTCCTCTTCCCCGCTGACCCTTGTCTCTGTTGCAGGCCTGGTGGCGGGCTGATCATTATAGACAGCATGCCGGACATACGCAAGCGAAAACCCATCCCCCTAGTTAGCGATTTGGTGAGGTTCCTCCTAACGCCTTGCACCACACAGCTGCTGGCTTCGCTCCTGCTGCGCCCCGCTGGACTGCGCCGCCCGCCCTGGCCGGTGCTTGCCGGGCGCCCGCGTCCTGCTCCCCAGCTGCCTCTAACATGGCTTGTGTTTTCTGTTTTCTTTTCTCCGGCCTGGCTTGGCCGTCCCTGGCGGCAGGGGGGCAGCAGTAAGGTCTGCGCTGCACATTAACAGCATCCCCGACATTAAGCCTGGACGCAAATCTCTCCCTCTAGTCAGCGATCTGGTGAGCGCGGTCCGAGGGGTTAAAGAGGGAGCACCCTTGGGTGCTGCGAGCCAGCCCTGCCCAGCCTCCTCCAGCCCCGCCAGTGGGGGGTGGGGGTGTCGCAGGCTGTTTTGGGTGTCTCCTGGCCCTGGACCTCGCAGTGGGGAGCTGTGAGGATGGCACAGCTGGGCTCTCCCCACCCAAGGGTGCTTCTCTTTAACAGAGCTCCGGGGGCCTGTCCCTACACCAAGCATCAGCCCAAGGCTTCCCGGGGCTGCGTCTGGTTTCCCATGTTTTTACCGGTGCTGCATCCCCGGTCCCTTACTGTCCCACCTGCCATAGGCTCCCCGCAGCTCGGACCACGCTGGTGCCGGGCAGATGGACCCATGTACCAGAGGAGGGGTAGCGCTGGCCTTTCTGAGGTGCACAGGCCCTATGCTCCTGTCCCCACCATTGTCACGCTGCGCCGCTACTTGCCCAGTCCCCATGCTGGGGTCCCATCCAGCCCCTGGGCTGTGATGCACAGGGTCACTCTGCTGTCACCCCCCTGGTGACAAGAGACAGCTATTTTGGAAACCAGACACCCTTTGCACCCAGAATTAGGTGCCCTTTGCCTCCTTCCCCCTCTCTTTACACCTCACCGCCTCCCCTTTGTGCCCTCCCCAGGGTGCCTCCATCCTGTCTCCAACCCGCCTGCCCTCTCCCATCCCGCTGCCCCGCCCTTGCTGCCCTCACCCCAGCGCCCTCCACCCCCCAGCCCGCTCGGGCAGCCGCTGATGCTTCTGCACTGTGCTGTGTTGGTGTTGGGGTTTTGGGGTGTCGGGTTGTGGGTGGTGATGGCGGCGTGGTCAGTGCGGGGGTCAGGCGGGGCCGCTGCCTTTCCACGCTGGCATTTGGCAGGCTGCAGCCAGTGCTGTGGCTTTGGGGGGAAAACCCCCCCAGGGACTGGCCTGACGCTGCATGAGGGGTTGGTGTTGCCCCGATTCCCACTTGTTCCGGCAAGGAAGGGGCCAGGACTTGCTCTGCTGTGAGGTGGCTTGCACTAATGGCCTTTTATTCCCCCCCTCGCCCACCCTGGCTGCCCACAGGCAATGGTAAGTGCCCCCCACCCCAGTCTCCCTGGAGTCTCAGACACACGTTGAGAGGCTCTGCCCCATTGGGGCTGAACTGGAAATGCCGCGGGCTGCTGAACTGGTTCCAGTCCCACTGCACGGCGGGGTGGCGCTTTGCAGCGCTGGCATCGCTGGGAGCTGGGCTGTCCCCACTGCCAGCCCATGCAGCCACCACCCACCCCTGTCTGGGGTGGGGGTCCATCCCAGGTGTATTACAGCCACTGGGACCCCAAAGCAGTGCGGGAGGGACACCCCGTGCTCTGCCAGATCTGGGAACTGTGTTTCTTTCCCACAGTCCCTGGTCCAGTCCAGGAAAGCAGGAATCACGTCCGCGCTGGCCTCGAGCACCTTGAACAATGAGGAGCTGGTAGGTGCTGGGGTTGGCTGGGGTGTGGGGTGGTCATGGTGGGAGCGCTGAGCCCCAGCCGGCCGGGCCAGCAATGGAGATGCGGGGTCTGCGCTACACCAGCATCCTCCTCCGGCGATGCCAAAGCAGCCGGGATGCTCACGGCTGCACCTGGGGATGGCGGTGTTTGTCCTCTGCCCTGCTTGTCCACGCCCAGCGTTGACATTGCATGTGGCCCAGCAGCTGTGGATGGGGTCTCCGTACCCTACTGCATGGCTCAGCTGCCGTATGTCGCCTGAGCTTTTCTCCCCCTCTTTCTTCTGTCCTTGCACAGAAAAACCATGTTTACAAGAAGACCCTGCAAGCCTTAGTGTACCCCATCTCCTGCACGACGCCCCACAACTTTGAGGTGTGGACAGCCACCACCCCCACCTACTGCTACGAGTGCGAGGGGCTGCTCTGGGGCATCGCCCGGCAGGGCATGCGCTGCGCCGAGTGTGGCGTCAAGTGTCACGAGAAGTGCCAGGACCTGCTCAATGCCGACTGCCTGCAGAGTAAGGAGCTGTTGCCTGCAGCCTCATCCCTTCTCATTTTGGAGAGGGAGGAGGGAGTGGCCCGCGGAGAGCTGGACTCCTGCCTTGTGCATGGGGGAAGTGGTGAGCAGGGCAGATCTGTCCTGGGCAGGGTGTAGACCCCTCCAGGTTTGAATTAATTCATGCACGGTGGGCTTGGGGAGCTCTCAGCTCTCTCCTGGATGCCGCCTGCCTGCCCTGTCTCACCCATGGCTGTCCTCTCCCAGGGGCGGCGGAGAAGAGCTCCAAGCACGGAGCGGAGGACCGGACCCAGAATATCATCATGGTGCTCAAGGACCGCATGAAGATCCGGGAGCGCAACAAGCCAGAGATATTTGAGCTGATCCAGGAGGTGTTTGGGGTCACCAAGACCACGCACACGCAGCAGATGAAGGCAGTGAAGCAGAGTGTCCTGGACGGCACCTCCAAATGGTCAGCCAAGATCAGCATCACAGGTAGGCACAGGCTGCACCTGGCACCATGTGCTGTGGGGGACCGGGTGGCTGTCCCCTTGCACCAGGATGCTGCGTGCTCCAATCCCCCTCCTGCCCCCTCATCCTGCAAAGGGGCTTCAGGCCCTGGGGCTCTGCCGAGGGACACAAGGTGCCTGTTGCGGGGGTCTCGGTTGCGGCTGTGGCACTGACCACTCTCTCTCTCTCTGTTCTCTCCGCTGTGTGTGCCACACGTGTGCCTCGTGTGAATGGGCGGGCGTGCTGTGCTGTGCTGCAGTTGTTTGTGCCCAGGGCCTGCAAGCAAAGGATAAGACGGGTTCCAGTGACCCGTATGTCACTGTCCAGGTTGGAAAGACAAAAAAAAGGACTAAAACTATCTACGGCAATCTCAACCCTGTCTGGGAGGAGAATTTCCATTTGTAAGTTCACCCCTGGCCCCTCCGTCCCACTTCCTGGCCACTCGTGGTCACGCTGAGCTGTGCTGGCTATCAGCGCGTCCCTGCGGGGCGGTGGGGAGCCTCATCCTGCCCCAGTTGAGGGTGGAGGGGGGCCGCTGGGGTCACTGGGAGTGCTGGTTTTGTGCCATGGAGGGTTTGGCTTCCTGGGGGCTGATCCAGGCTGCAGTGGGGCTGCCTGGGCATGATGCAGAGCCCTACCGAGCCCACCGGGGAGGGTTGGTGCCCCCACATCTGCTCTCTTCCCCAGTTCCTGCCCCGTGCTGGGATGGTCGCCCTTGTTTAGGGAAACAGAGGCTGTGGAGAGGCTGGAAAGGTTTCCCTGCTCATCCCTTCTTGCCTCCCCAGCGAGTGCCATAACTCCTCCGACCGCATCAAGGTCCGCGTCTGGGATGAAGATGACGACATCAAGTCCCGTGTCAAGCAGCGCTTCAAGAGGGAGTCCGACGACTTTCTGGGCCAGACAATCATTGAGGTCCGGACCCTGAGCGGGGAGATGGACGTCTGGTACAACCTCGGTAACTGGCTGCCCCGGCACGGCCTGCTTGGGCTGGGACCCCTGGCCCTGCGCTCCCGGGGGGACGTGCTGCCAGCCCTGGCGTTGAAGGCTGTTTCAGCATATTAGTATAGGGTCTGCTGTTAAAAACACTTAATATCGAAAGCCATTGGGATCAAGTGCTTTCCCAGGGTCATTCTCAAACCCCTTTGCCCAGGAGGTCTGGAGCACTGGCACTCTGCAGAGGGGAAACTGAGGCACAGAGAGGCCACGTCTCTGTAGTGTCTGGAGATATGGCCAAATCCCTCTCTGCAATGCCTTGGTTGCATCGTACCCTGTCCTGGCTGCACTCAGTGCTGGGTGTCCCCCTGGCCCTGGCCCCAAGAGTCCCTCCGTGTCGGAGCCGTCTGCCCCTCTTTGGGGCCAGGAGTGAGCAGAGTTGCTCTGGGGAAGTCTCATGTCTCGTCCCCCTCCCTGTACCCCCGCAGACAAGCGGACAGACAAGTCGGCTGTGTCGGGAGCCATCCGGCTGCACATCAGCGTGGAGATCAAAGGCGAGGAGAAGGTGGCTCCCTACCACGTACAGTACACCTGCCTGCACGAGGTGAGCAGCCCAGGCAGGTGCAGGGGGCATGGCCCCCACCCCAGTGATGCCACCGTGCCACCACCGGCTCTGTGGACCCGACGGGACTCATTTGTACCTCCAGAACCTGTTCCACTTTGTGACGGATTTGCAAAACAACGGGGTGGTGAAGATCCCCGACGCCAAGGGGGACGACGCCTGGAAAGTGTACTTTGATGAGACGGCGCAGGAGATCGTGGACGAGTTTGCCATGCGCTACGGGGTGGAGTCCATCTACCAGGCCATGACGTGAGTGGCTGCGCCAGCCCTGGGTGGGGGTTGGCATCTTCCCCCCCTGCTGCCGTTTGCACCCACCTCCCGCCACGGGTGCAGACGTGCTCCCCTAGCTCGTCCCGCACCCGTGCACCCCTCCCTCCCCTTCTCCATGCGTGCACCCCAAAGCCCACACCCCTTCCTACAGGCAGCCCCTCCCGTGGCCCCGCACCCTCACCTTCCTCCTCCCTCTGCAGGCATTTTGCCTGCCTTTCCTCCAAATACATGTGCCCTGGGGTGCCAGCGGTGATGAGTACCCTGCTAGCCAACATCAACGCCTACTATGCCCACACGACGGCTTCCACCAATGTCTCGGCCTCTGACCGCTTTGCCGCTTCCAATTTCGGGGTAAGTCCGATGGTGCGTAAACACTCCTTCCTTCTTCTCTCTCTTCTCTTGGGAGGGGGTGGGGGGCTCGGGGAGCAAAAAGGGCCATGCAAAACACCCCGCTCCAAACTGCAGCCGGGCAGCAGGGGGGGTCAGCCCCTCCTTGCCCCAAAATTCATCCCGCTCCCGTTTTTCAGGAAGGAAAAGAGCCACCGCCTTCCTGGGAGAAGGTCTAAATTTGCTCCCCAAATTATTATGGTAAAACCGCGACTGGAGTCTGAGCGGGCTGGGATACTGGGCTGCAGTGTAGCAGGAGGGGGAAACCTCGGTGGCAAAATCACAAGCAGGTGGCAAGGACCCATCCCTGCAGCTCGCCGGGAGTTTTGCGTGGCCCTGTGCGCTTTGGGCGCGCCCCGGGACCGCTGCAAACTCTCCTGGCTGTGCCAGCACCCATGGGTGCCAGCTGGGTGCCTCGCTTGCAGCGAGTGGGGTGAGTTTGTGCCGGGGCCGGGTGCGCCCTTGGGGACGTGGGTGAGGAGGGGCTGAGCTCTCGCCCCGGCTCCCCCTGTGTCGTCCCAGAGGCAGCAGGTGGTTGCTCTGGATGCACGCGGGTCGAGCCAGGATCAGCGCCCAGCCCTGGGTCAGGCAAAGTGCTGGGTAGCCAGGGACGCAGCCAGGGCCGAGCACAGTTCCGGGCAACGGCAGCTTTGGCTCACTCTTCCCAGTTCCCGTTGCAGGGGGTAGCTAGAGCCGAGCGAGCTGTGCCTCCGGGTCACGCAGGAGGAGGAAACCGTACGAAAAAAAAGCACCTTTTCTCTAACATGGAGGGTTTTAAAAACTTGTTTCTTTCTCTTTTTTTAGAGAGCCTAAGGTTGGGTCCTAAAGTGCCCGGCTGTGCCGCTTTAACCCCGAGTACCCGTCGTGTCCAGTTTTAAAGCGCTGCAGCCGTTCGGTGGCGGGGACGCACGGTCTTGGCCCAGAGCCTGGCTTTGCTGTCTCCGGCGGGCAAGCGCGCCGAAGGTTTGCGGTCGCCAGTGCAGGCTGCGGGCTTGGCCGAGCTGCGGCCAGGCGGGCGCGGGACTCGCTGCCCCGTCCCGTCCCCTTGTCCTCCCCCCCACAGGACTTGGGGAGCTGCTCTGGGCTCTCCGGAGCCCTGCGGGGCAGCCCTGACCCAGTACAGCCAGTGCTGGGGGGGGAACCCAGGGCTCTCATGGGAGGCCCACAGGGTTGTCCAAAGCCCCCTCCCCGGCAGAGATGCAAAGTGAAATGCCTCCTGACAGCGTTTTGGGGCAGATTGGTTGCCTTACCCTCAGCTCTGACATCCGATCCACAGCCCAACGTGAGATTTGCATCCTCCTGCCCCACGGTCCCTGGACGGGAGCTGGGCTGAGCTGAATTAAAGCTACTCAGCCCCAATGGAGACCATCTACCTGGGGCGGTTCCCTGCCCACATCCCTTGAGACAGCCCGATCGGGCGAGCGAGGAGCCCATGGAGGCGTCCGACTCTTGGGGGCCATCCTGGCCTTGTCTCGAAGCAGCTCGTCCCTGAAGATGGGTGGCCGCTGCAAGAGCCCAGCTGCTCT